CGTTAAATATATATATATATATATATATATATATATATACATATAAATTTTATACAATTTTTGGCTATTAATTTTACAGTGGCTATACAGTGTTATTTTTTCAATTTTTTATGATATTCTTAAGTTTGTATAAAGTTAAAGTTTGTAGATAAATCTCCTTCTAGATCTAATGATGTTCACTTGTCTCAGTACATCGGATCTAGAGTAGAATATATAAATCAATGCTTGGTTATCACTCATGGATGTTTTAATTAAAATTCACATGATTTTTGCACCATTTCAAAGTTTTCGTTAATAAAGAGGATTTGTTTTTTATTTATTTTAATTTTTTTAAGAATCAATTGACCTCAAATCGAGGAAGCCATCTTTATCGGTGTCCATAGACAACTAGAAGAAATTCTATGTAACACCATTGACTAGATGAAAAGAACAGAAAGACCATTTCAACAAATCGAAAGAGAAAAAAAATCAACCAAAAATAATTAGTTTTTTCAGAATATATAGAAATCATAACTTATAATAGAAAAGCTCAACAAAAAAAAAAATCTACCTCTGATTTGGTTGCTCCATTTGGAAAAAAAGGCCTTAAGTAGAATTTTTATGTTTAGGGCAAGAAGACCTGCAATAACAAGAGAGATTAAAGGGAAAACTAAGCCTAATGCTGAGTTTAAATACTGAGTTGTTTTCACGCTATTAATGTTATATGTGGTCCCATTACAAAATCCACATTAGATTATATTACTTTTGACTTATTAATTGTTTCTCATTCAATTTTTGCAAGATATTTTAAAATCTCCCATTTTAATATTGCTAAAGTTATTTATTAAACATTTAACTAATTCTATCATAATGTATCTACCAAACTTATTATTATCATCAGTATTGACAAATGCATCTATTTTCATATTCTCACTTAGTTTAAGTAAGATACAAAATATTGCCAGTAAATCTTAGCTGAAATTATCTTTTCTCCTAAACTTTTAATCCATCCAATATGAGCCAATTTATGCAGGATTAAAAAGATAGAGCAGATGTCATTTTGATTTTGCATACATAAAAAAGAATTATAGTAATATTTAGAAATATCATTATGATTTTCTTACTAACCTTTAAAACAATAGTAGTAGATCAAATAATTAAATCGTCATAATTACTCAAACAGTCACACAACAAATAGTTGTAAGTACGTACGTAGTAACATTTTGTATCCGCTAGTTCCTCCGGTGTTTGCATGTGACGCTTTTGAGGCAAATAGATTAAGAACTGCGTTTACTAAACAAATGTATTACAGATAGTATTAACTATCAAGTGCCAACGGGTCAGCTCCTTAAGACATGAATATTTAATCCGCAGACATCCCTTATTTTGTGATGATGCATATCAGTATTTATTAATAAAACGTGCATTGTACGTTAATAATAACATATAACGGATTAGTCAATTATTTATATGAAGGCACAACAAATATAATATATAAAATACAATAATTATTTAAATATAAAAAATTATCATTACATTAGCATAATACGTGAATTCAAAAAGATTAGACAGCATATGAACCTGCAAAAATGATCAATTTAGTCATGTTAGTTTGATAATATTATTATGTACTTATAATTTAGAAAATTGCAATATGATGATATCTAACATAATATTTTTTTTATGGATAATTTTTTTTTGTTTTGTCTATGTTCACTTCTAATGCATTGGTTACCAGGGGCGGATCTACGTAGTCCGTGCCGGATGCTGAAGCACCCATTGACCCCGGCGTGAACTATGTACAGTTATACAAGAAAACATAGGAAAATAATATAATGAATTAGTAAGCACCCACAAACCAAAAGCGCTCATGGGTGCTTCGGTTCAAAGCTGAAGCTAAGAGCCTTTTTTTAAGCCACACGGCTTCGATTCCGGATTGGGACAGCTTTTCGCCAAGCATGCTACTTCTAAAGGCAGACCAAACCGTTCTCCACTTCTTGATTTTCGGCTCTCACACAAAGAAAGAAGATGCAGCTTCCAGCGAAAAGTAAAAACAAAGAAAACATAACAGCTAGCAATCTCTCTTATGCTTCACAATAATTTCAAAATCAAAACATAAGGAACAAGATAATAAGATTATATTGTTTGTTAAAACCAGAGATTGAAAACATTTAGTAGAGGGATTTTAGATTTTTTTTTCCATGCTTAAACATAACGAACAAGATAATAAGATTATGTTTTTGTTAAAGCCAGAGATTGAAAATATTTAGTAGAGGGATTTTAGATTTTTTTTTCGTG